TTGTTCTGGAATTTTTTTCTCTTCACCAGTTTATTGGCTTTCATTCCAACTGGTGCAAATTCAGCAAGATTGCCAATCTCTACAGCAGCTCGTTCAGTTTGATGTTTTGCATCAGCCTACTTTCATCTTCAAGATGGACTATTGTTGATCTCCATAGTCCATCTTGAGGGGGGTGTGTTAGAATATCCCCAGCTTCAATTCAAGCCAAGCTTTAACATATTCAGCTCAGCCAGCATGCTCACACATTCCAGCTCCAGCAGGCATGCTACAACAGCATCTTCAGCATACCAGATCACACGTCCAGCACATAAACATCCTTCTAGATCCTTCTATCACATGGCCAACAAATGCCTATTCTAGATCCTTCTTATTGTAGTTAGTTTGTTAGATTTAATCTATAAATAGGGCAATGTAATCACCTTTACAATTGAGCATTTGTTGAATAATAAATCTCATTTTCATCATGTTCCTTCAATGTGTTTTACATGTTGAATCTATCTTTTAATTTCAGTTTCTGGTTATCTCCATTTTCGTATCTGTTCATTTTTAATTTTTGCTGATGTGTTCTGGTTCACGTTTGCTGCTGGTTTCATTCCTGCTGTTATGTTCTGCTAATCTGTTCTTCAGCTAGTTCTGATTTTCAAGTTGTGCTGACTTCAAATTCTAAGAGAAACAGGACTACGAACCTTACCCATCTGCAGGATTACGAAATGGAGTTTTAAAAAAAAACCAACAAGACATAGTAGTAGCGAAAGTTCCTAATTTTCACCTGATTGTAGAATAGGTCCATGGGTTGGGAGAATAGGTCGAAGAGGCAGTGGCAGTGGCAATGGCAGTGAGATTGAAGTCGAACTGCCCAACTTTACGAGGATACGTCGGTCGAGCGCTGGTCGTAATGTCGTCGCAAAATGGGGCGTATGTTCACCGTCGTGAGTGTTTCGGAACCCGTAATCTACAGCGAAGTGGTTGCCACTTGAAGATCTACTTTCGAAGAAGCAACGTTCAACACGAGACTGTTCACCGGCTAACGATTGAGGGCTCTACAGGATGAAGGTTTCACTGTTGGCTCCAATGTCATGTGAGGGGAGATGAGCGAGATTTTTTTGTCGAGGGAAAGTGTCAGTCCTCACTGTTTGGGTTAAGGGTAAAGGTGGGAATCTTCTTTTCTTCTGTTGCTGTTTGCACAGTGAGAAGATGGCGTGTTGTCAGGTTGGTACTGTTCCAACGGAAATTTTTTTGCTA